TGTTGAAGGCGCTGATAAATTTTTGAATGGGCTCAAAATTGATGTTTCTAAATCAATTAAAACTTGTTCTGTCGACGAATGTCAAATTTTTTCAGTTCAGTTGATGTTTGCAAATATCCATTATTACTCTTTTCTCGTTCGTACAAATTACTTCAAATATTCGAACTGTACAGACTTAGTATTTTCATTTCAGCGTGCGGCTTATGCGAATTATTCTCTCCACCACGAAGAAGCGGTTTCACTTCCGATCACGATCGAACCTAAAAAGTCTTATCTAGGACTAAGCCAAGCAACACTGCTTTATACTTTTTTCGCCCTACTGCAAGGAAACGAAATAGAAAAAGAAAAGTTCTACGACGAACAAATTCTTACTCTGCAATCACTCAACACCAACTACAAGCAGTTGTACGAATCTTTGTTTAGCTCAGGTACATTACTCGACGTCACGTTGGTGTCCGAAGCTTCTCAATTTAAAGAAGCCAATCTGTTGTTGGCGTTCTCTGAACCCTACTTGTACGATATTTTTGATCTCTTATCTAGCTATCCGACAGCTACTAACAGAAAGCGCGGTTTAGACAAGTTTGCTCATACCGATTCCACCTCTTCCATGAACATCAATTACATTTTACTATTCAAGATAATCAGGTCTGCCTTTACATTCATGAGAAACGTTTTGTACTACGTCCACTGTGTTGCTATTGTCGCAATAGATGGCGATAAAATAAATCCTAGACCAGGAATAACTGAGAATGACATTAAATTCATCAAGTTTTATTTGGAAAGTTTCAAATGGTTCCAGTTCAGCACTCAATCGATTGAAAAACTCGTCTTTTTGTTAGTACAGGCTTACAGTTTTACTTTCTCGAACATTTGTCAGAAATTACTTCCTTGTTTCGAATTCGTCGTTAACAATTATCACGCGTCCAAATTCAGTGTTGCCACCACTACCAAAATATTTGAATCTATCAGTAAACAGATTTCGTATGAGTTCATCGAAATATCAAACAAAATGCAGCAATTGGCTCTGACGTCGAGAACTGGTCAATCTACTGACGTTTTGTTTCAAAAGCCTTATTCTTATACCACAGATATTCTTGGATCTGAATTCGTTTTCAACAAGTTATGCACTAAAACAGAAGGAATCCTTTCTTATTCTAATAAAAAGATTGACGAAACACTTAACAAACTAGACATGTCTCAATACTCTGTAACAAACATTAACGATAATCTAAAAGCTGTGTTTCAATCCGCAAAGCATTTAATCGATATTTTGACTCTTGTTTACAACGAACAATACTTAGCTAAGCTTGACTCTGAGGAGTTATCTAAGCAGTTTCAACACAGCAAAGTATTGTTCCAAAACCTTTTAGAGAAATACCAAATTTACAAAAAATTCTTTGCTGATTAGAAAAAAACTATGAAATTTTGCCATGATTTATATTACATATTGTTTACCCTTTGTATTGTCATAACATTTCGTAAATGAAACTTCTGACAATTTAGATTCAATTTCTTTTGAAATCAAATTTAACTTGTTAATATATTCATCATTATTGACGGAGCCATAATTATTATCAATATTGATAGGTTTAAGAAATTCTACTGATGGCGTTTTTTTTAATTTATTAGCAATATCATAACTGGATAAAGAATCTGAAACTAAATTATTAGAGTTTGAACATGATATATCCAAATTTGATTCATTAATAAAAATGTTATCCTCGATATCTTCATTATCACCGTAGGTGACATTAAAATTTGAATATTTTTTTTTGTGAGCATTATTATCTATAAAACCTACTCCACATGTACAATTCGATAGTTGGGTTTTGTTAGTGTTATCAATGTTATTAACATTAATCTGTTTGTTATTTAGTATTTTACCTTTTGAAACAACAGAATTTGTTCGTGAAGAATAGTTAAGCTGATTATTTGGCGATTGATAAATTAATTTGCTTGATCTTTGTTCCTTATTCCATTCTTTCAAAGAAGACAGCGCAATTTTGGTCAAGTCAATGTCTTTTGGACCGTTGACGACGTTATCTGTAATGTTTTCAGTCTTGTATAATAAGGGAATTTTTTTGACATTATCCTCTTGGTCGTTTAAAAATATGTCCGACTTACAACTGCTAATAATAAAATCTTTTTGCGGTTTTGGCTGTCTCTCAACGGTAACAGCGGTTTGGATCGTTTCTCCAGTGACTACATGAGCTGTGAGCGAATTTTGTTTTGTTTGTTCTAATAAGTCGTTTTGAACGTCATCATGTTTTGGTTTTGGCTGCATGATATGATTGAAATATTCAATCACGTCACCTACTAGCATCTCTTCGGATATCGTTGAATTTAACAATTGATTTTGCAAGACTTTGAGCTGATTAATCAGGGTGGCTTCTCTATCTAAGGACTCTCTCAATAACTCTTCCATGTGATCTTGTTCGTGTTTATTCTCAATAGTTTTTGCTAGTATTTGGTTCATTTTGTCTAAATAATATTCATATTTTTGGAGCGTGTTTTTAAGAATCAAATTTTCACTTTTCAATTTGTCGAAGTATAATTTGTCTTCGTGCTGTTTCTTGCCTTCGACGGTGCAATTGTTATTGATGTCCTTAACTGAGCTTTCGAGCGATTTAACATCGTTTCCTTGAAGCGCATTGATGATAAGTTCCAACTGATAGTTTGAACATTCCAAGCGAACACGTCTAATGAACTCGTGCTTGAGTTCATTTAACAATGCAATACACAATTTCTGATCTTTAGTTAAAAGATTTTCATCGAGAGTTAGTTTGGTTATGTAGTTAGTGTAATGATTATAGTATTCTGACAATTTTGAGTCGATCAGCGCTGATAACTGTGAATAATGGTTTTCAAAGTGTTTTTGGTTCTCAAATAATTTCTTGAGTTTGCCGTTCTCTATGGACAAATTGATCGCCTTTTTTTGAACGTCAAATAACTTATTTGAAAGATTGTTTAGTTTGACGCTTGTCTCGTACTGAATCTTAGAAAACAATTTCTTTGTAAAGATCGAAAAAGAATTGCAGTTCGCATTTGAGCGAGACTCGGATATTAACTCCGGCGTTGTGAGCATGTTAATGTTGTTTATGTCAACCTCATAAATTGGTACTTCGACCTTATGTGATTTCCCCCAAAAATTTTTTTTTTTGCAAGTGACTAACGACGGGGAAAGATCATTTAATAATTCCTTTGGCGAATAGATGTAAGAACTATTATCTAAGCTTGCTAGTTGAGTCACGATTGTCAAATTTAATTAGTTTATAAGTTGTCCATATATTATGGAATGGTATTTTGATGCACCCATCAGGAGCACCACTTTACACGGATTTCTAGAGTTGCTTTATTAGCTTTTAAAAAATTTTTGATTCTATTGAAACATGAACCACGCCGAACATAGTGCAATACGTTGAAATTGTCGTGTGTGAGTCAATAAGTTTAGCAGAGCTACTAAAATTTAATATACTGGCTACATCAAATGAAAAACAGTGTAATGCATTGGAGATAACTTTGGAATCACGTTTGATTTTTTCCAGCTCTGTGAGGCTTGAACGAAAAAAAACTACGCCGTTCTCTTCTATATATCTTCTCATTTTCGTATGTCGTAACAGTATTTCGTTCGAAACGCGTTTGGAAAAATTCGTCAGATCTGAATCGGGCTCAACATTGCGATCAGTCAACATTATAATTTCGTTAGCAACTTCACACAATTTAGTGGGGAAAGCAAGATCCCATCCCATAATTTCAACTTTTTTTTTTCGTTTTGAAAGTTCAGAAAGGTTGTTTCTGATGATAAGTCCGAATTCATAAAAAAATAAAACGTAATCAGTCATAGCCAGTGTTAAAACTGTTGAAGGGTGGTACAAAGAGACAAAATCTTTACCGCGGTAAAAAACTTGGGAAGGATCATACACTATGTCATTTATATGATATTTATCATTTGTTGCAAGGTTTACGCTAGATTTTGCAGTTAATCCTCTAAAACATTTAGCCATAGTTCGCGTTGATTCAGAGCCGTCAAATGAAATTATGAAGCCTTCTTTTTGCGCAACACTTAAGTATTTTTTTTTTTCAGTTATATCGAAATCATGTATTTTAGATCTGTAGTACATTTCACAAAACAAGACACTATGTGAAAAACGTTTTCGATTAAGTTTTTTCAATTTTCCATGTCTGGTTGAGACCCAAAAATTGTTTTCATCTGCCAGTAACACTTTATCACACATGTCCCCTGGTAAATTCATTAATTTAATGTTACGAAGGTTATTTTCTGCAATTTCAAAATCCATGATACTGCCATTTGCTAAAGTTAATAAAAAATAAATAACTTGTTTCTGTACATCGAAATAAGACTGAGCAGATTTTATACAATGAGGAAAATTAATTGATATTGGATTTACATTCGTCAAATTTAATACGCCAGGCTCGGTTTCCGTTAGTTTTAAAATTTCGAAGTGATCACAAAAATAACAAATAAGGCCAATGCCATTTTTGTTATTGTTGGTGTAACTAGAGATGACCGGAGGAACGATCTGCGAAAATGTTTTTTCAGAGAGAACAGCGAAAAAGCCGTCGGTAGTTAGTAAATAAACACACCAAAAAAAATTTAACGGGTAAGTGACAGTGTGTTCAAGCGTCGATAAAACTAGGTCTTTACTCAACTTCAGTTTTTGAATATTTATAGACAAGCAGATACGATCTCCTAACTGAAAAAAAATATCTTTTCTCATAGGAAATTTTTTATCATGAACAATAACTGCCTCTTTGGAATGAAGAGAAAACGGTACCGTATTATCAGGTGTTTCATTTGCGGTGAAGAATTTTTTTTTTATCTTTAAAAGATGACCATTTACGTTGATTGTATTTTCTAAAGTAATTAAATCGGCCGGAGTGTTAGTGTTGGCAATTCTATTATAATTATTGACGGAGGAACTTATATACCAAAGTAACATAAATATAAAACATTTATTCTTTTTACCATTTTTATTTTGATGGTTCAAAAATCTTATTACAGTATTCTAAATTTGGATAAAAATTGTTCCCAAGCAGATATTGTTAGGGCTTATAGAGTTTTGGCAATTAAATACCATCCAGATAAAAACTCAGACGGGAAAGAGTTATTTCAAGAGTTGAAAGAAGCTTATGAAGTGTTAGCAGATGAAGAGAAGCGTTATTTGTACGATAACGGTTTAGATTACGATAATACTGAATCTAAGGTTAAAATTACACCAGAAGACATAGAAAATTTTTGTCGTGTTTATAAAGGCAGTGTCGAGGAAGAACACGATATTATTGCTTATTACAAGAAACAAGACGGAAATATTTTAAAAATATTTGATCATATACCATTGCTCGAGTTCTGCGAAGAACATTTCGAGCGTTTAATTAAAATGATTGAAAAATTATTTCATGAAAAACTTTTACAGAATACCAGAGAATATGAGGTTTCAGTTTCGAAGTTAAGAATGCTACTTAACAAAAGAAAAAGTAAAAAAAAATCGAAAAGAAAAATTTCTTCTAAAGTTCACACTGACAGCCTGAAATCTTTGGCAGAAACCATAAAATCTCGTCAGAAAGATTCACCTCGAAATATTGAAAATATTGTCAGTAAATATGTAAAAAAAAGTAAAAAATAAAATTTTTATTTATGTCTAAATAAGTATTGAAGAAATAGAAATCTATTTGCTAATTAATACATTTCGACTGCTTGTTTATTAATTTTAATTTTGGTTATTTTCAACTTGAACTATTAGAATGACGATTAATAATTACGGATTAAATGAAAGTTTCGAGGATAATAAGCATTACATTTCAGAACAACTTCAGAAAGCGATTTTCAAGAACGAAGACGATAGAACGGAAACTGTAAATAAAATGGCAAAAAAAACTGGTACGACAATTTGTGGTTTAATATACGACGGAGGTGTCGTGCTAGCAGCTGATACTAGAGCAACAGCAGGCAGTTTCATTGCTGACAAGTCATGTTTCAAGTTACATTTACTGTTAGATCACATTTGGTGTGCTGGAGCCGGAGTGGCTGCTGATTTAGAACATGTTACAATGCGTATGGCAGCAGACCTGAGAGTTTTTCAGGCGAAATTGAAATCTTTAGTTCGAGTAGAAACCGCTGTAACCCGGCTATGCAATCATCTAGTTCAATACATGGGGCACATATCTGTAGCTTTGATTATTGGAGGGATAAATCCTGATTCTAAACCCAGTCTTTGGTATGTTAGTGCTGAAGGGCATGCTCACCAACTTCCTTATTTGGCTATGGGTTCTGGAGGTTTATTCGCCACTTCAGTGCTGGAGAGAAAATACAGGAAACCCATGCCTGAGCAAGAAGCTATGGATCTTGCTGCAGATGCTATCGAAGCTGGTGTAATTAATGATTTGGGCTCTGGTACCATGGTCGACGTAGTAAAGATCACGATTGCTAATCCTAAAAAACCAGTACTTACTCGTGGATACAGACGGCCAGTCGCTAACATTCCAGGGTCTGTGTCTTCTGATATTAGTATGAGGTTGAAAAACTATACTATACTAAGCGACGTTTCCAAACCAATTCCCGTGTTTGACAAAAACAGCTTTTACGAATATCTAGATTAAAAGAAAGTTTAATTACATTTTTTATAACCAATTATATATGTTTTACCCGTTGATCTCACTTTATAAAGAAACTTGTCTACGTGAACATCGCTGGTAATATAAAACAAACTAGAAATTCTGCCAATTCTTAAGTTATGAAAGCTATCTGCAACATGCCCAATAATGTTGTGATTTTGAGTGCAGTTTATCAGTTTAATATTTTCATTTATCGATAGTGCAATTGAGCTGCATTGATCACAGCACGAAAATATAGGACTGAAAACATGAAACTTTATTGTTAAATCAGTCGGCAACTCTAAATAGCTATGAATGCCTACGCATTGTATTGTCTGAATTTCAGTTGAAAAATTAGAACTATAAGCATAATCCCATCTTCTTAATTTAATACTGTTTTTAGTACGAACAAAATAAATTTGCTTTAGCGACAATTTAGCTAAATTGATAAAATGTTCTGGAAATAAAGGCTTGGAAAACGTCGTAAAAATACGAGATTTATCGTCTACGCCCATTAAGCCAGCACCTATTGAGTACAATCTATGAATTATTTTTCTAATGTAAAAGCCTTTTGGAATGATTAATGTTATTTGAGGTATCGAAGCATAAAATTCGCTGAATTCTATTAAAATAGGCACGGTATTAATGTGTTCTGAGTATGAGTGTAATTTTTCGCTTTTTGGTTTGCACAAACTATTATTTGGCTTAGATGATTTATCCATGTTGTTTATTTTTGTGACTTCTTTGTTCCAATTTTTGCGAGCTCGGCTACGAACACATTGTTCTATTGTATTTGCTTTGGCTTTGTTGGCGTCTTTAAAGCTTATTAAATTTAAAAAAGTATTTGACAATTGGATCTGAGTATCTAAGAAAGATTTCTTATAACTCGATCCGTCATACCGCTTGGTACGTGGAGACTGAAACGGTCCGACATCTCTCATTAAGCAATTCAATTTTACTTCTTGAAACTGATTTTTTAGATTTAACGCGATATCTAGCCAGGCTGAATATTTCGGGGTAAATATGGATTCTAACGTAAAAGTATCATGCTGAAAATTTTGATTGTCCGATAAGTCTAATCCATATTGTGATAACGCATCTGACAAAAAAGACAAAGCTAATGGCCCGATAACTTCGAGCGTATTGAATTCTTTTATAGCAAAGTTGATTTTACTGTCTATACATGCCTGAACGCATTTAAAAAAGTTTAAAGGATGAATTCTAATAAGAGAATCATCTCCGCTGTTCAAACAAGCAATTGTAACGTTATTCCAATTTATTTTATTTAATCCACTTTTCAAACTGGAATCAATTAATTGCTCGAATTCAGACGTCTTTACTAAAAGAAACTGATGATAAGATGAATCAAAAAAAACACATTTTTGCTTAACTTTCTTATATATGTTCCTCATAGATTTCTGCGTTGAAGCTATTGGCAGCACAAAACCGTTTGAAATCTGTCTTAAATAATTTTTTGTCTCTACATCATTGATGTTATTGACGCAATGGTCATCTTGAACAAAATTAACTCGAGCGTTTACATAAATATCAGATTTTTTATCGTATTTTCGATCACTAAATTTTGTAGTGGCATTTGTTATATAGTAGCTTGCTAAATGAGCACGTTTGCTAAACCATAAATGAGAATCTAGCCAGTTGGGATAGTTTTCTCTAAACTTGTATTTGTAATTTGCCCTCAAAATCCAGGCTCTATATTGACATCTATTGATTTTCTTTGAAATAGGAGTTGTAGAACCGTTGTTTGGCTTCAACAGTCGATGAGATTTTGGAATTCTGTAAGGATTATGCGATTGCACTCGACGACGCTGAGTAAAGGGTAATGCTTGAAAGTATCTTTTATTCTTTTGGTTTTTAGCAAGGAAATCACTTTCCAATAACTCGATGTTTGCTTTGAAGGTTTTTACATATTCAGGTACATCTAAAAAAGCTTTGTCTTCAAACATATCCAGGTGGAAATTTTTTTTTGAAGACGTATTATTAAATAAACTACTAAATTTATAGAAAATTATTATGTAGTTAAAAGATATCAATGATGTTTTAAAGATTTGTAGCTATGCTTATATGTGATTTCGTTCGTTTTTGCCATGTTTTGCCCGGCTAGTTCAAGAGAACGCCCAAATTCGTTTCTGCCAAATACAATTTGCACAACAATAGTTTTTCCTGGATTTTGGTCTATGAAGGTAAAAGTTTCCAATAGTTCTTCGTAGTTACGAACTAAATGTCCTTTTTCTCCACCAAAAACACGAGGAATTTCTGCGTAATCCCAATGGGGTATATCGTTGTAAATATTATCGTCAATAGCTCGTTCAATGGTGTACCCATCGTTATCAATAATGAAAACGATGATGTCAAGGTTATTAGAAATATAACGACTAAGATCTTGCGCAGTGACTTGGAAAGATCCGTCGCCTATAAATAACACAGTTCGTTTACTATTTTTCAAGGTTTTGTTAGCAATTCCTATGCCTAGCGTTGCTCCTATTGTGTAACCAATACTTCCATAAAATAACTGTGTGATCAACTCATTTCCGCTTTTAAAAAATAAATCGCCCATTGCAAACATACTACTTCCTGTTTCTGCTACAACAGTTAGATTTTTTCCTAACCAGTTATTAATAGCTTGAAAAAATCCGTTCATAGATAAAATTTGCTTAGAATTTTTAGTAGCTTCTATGGGTAAGTTCTGGGGTAAGATACCAGACTGTTTAGGGTAATCTGCTAGCTGTTTTTTTTTGACTTTGATTATTAAGCTGTCTAACACATCTTTGATATAAACGTTTGTAAAAATTTGATCGTCTTTAGCTACATAATCATCATGAATAATAAGCGTTTTTTCTTTATATAGTGAAGCTGTAAAACCTTTTGTATTGAAATCGGTGAGCATTTCTCCCAAAATGACAATTAAATCAGAATTTTCTAAATAATTTTCTACTTCATCCGTTGTTGTTCCGATGGAATACATTCCAATAAATTGTGGATGATCTTCTCCAATTATTCCTTTTGACATCATCATAGTTGTGTATGGTAATCCCGTGATTTCAAGCAATTTTTTAAATTGGTCTACAATTTGATATCTTTTTAATAATACCCCAGGCACTAAGACTGCGCGTTTAGCTTCAGAAATATTTTGACAAATAAATTTCGTAGCTGATTCTAGGGTTGTCTTATCACTTGAATTAAACAGAGACAGACTCGAATTAAGTTTGATACTAGGAAGCTCTTTAATTGGCATGTCAGCAGGAACTACAAGATAAGCTGGTTTTTTTTCTTTTAAGCAAGTAGAAATACATCTGTCAATTTGTGCTTGTGCATTGTTTATGTCGAATATTATTTCAGCTGCACAGCTAATTTCGCTGTACATTTTAAAAGGAATATGATAATCGTAAAACGTATGATGCAACATTCTTTGATCTTTCCAATCTTGAGTCTTTGGAGCTCCAGTAATTTGTAATACTGGTACCCGCTCTGCTAAACTACCTGCAACAGCATTTAAGGCGGACAATTCCCCAACTGCGTAAGTGGTAATAACAACTCCCAAACCTTTAATTCTCGCATAACCATCTGCTGCATATCCAGCGTTTAACTCATTACAACAGCCAATATACTCTACCTCCGAGTCGACTAAAACATCTAAAAGTTCTAAGTTGTAATCACCGGGTACTCCAAACACTTGTTCAACCCCGACTTCTTTTAACTTTGCAAATAGGTATTCTGAAAGCAACATTTTTTATAGATTGAACATATTATGTAATAAAAATTATTATGTTAAATATTATCACTTTGAATAATTTAACTGTGTCAACAAGTCTTATTTTGACAACAGCTAGCCGTGATGACGTAAAAAAAACGCTAAATTTATTAAATGTTCATTTGATTTATGAAGATCGAATATTAGATGATGTTTTGGAGCATTATAACGAACCGCTTATAACAGTAGATTTAAAATCCAGCCAAATCCACGTTATTATTCCATTTATTGAGTTAAATAATGCTGTTGATTTTTATATAAATGAACATTTTAAAAGATTTGAATGCTGCAATGTTAAGTTAATTTTGGCCAAACCCTCTGATCTACAATTTGTTGAAGTGTGCAAAAAATTACTGATTAATCATATCACAAATCTTCAAATAACTGATCTAAAAAAACAATCAAAAGAAAAAATAAATAATTCTCTAAAGCAGTCGTGTAAAGAAAAAAATAATTTGATTAAGTGCAGTTCTTATCAACTAATATTATTATTTAATGTAGATAATAAGATAAAAAATGAATATTTGACAACTGAAATAACAAATTATTTTGTAGCTCCAAATTTATTCTCGGCTTTAAACACTAGTTGCTAAATAAACTTGAGCAATTTAGATTACAAGTAAAATAATTACACTAATAAGTTTATTTCCGTTTTCTGACTACCCATCTTAAAATTATATTCGTCGGTTTTGTTTAAATATTTCAATCTAAGTGATATAATATTAGTGATCTAGTCTAAATAAAAATTTTTATGAAATCGAGAAGACTTTATAATCATATGTAATATCTAGATACTTTACTCAATATAATTAATTTTGATTAATCCATTGAAAATGAATTTTTTGTGTGTATTCAATGATTATAATTCTTTACCTTTTTCGCATTGTAACTGGTTTAAGCTTTTCAAAAGCATGTAACAATGATTTTTGTCCAGAATTTTTGCCAGCTGGTTACAAAGGAATAAGTAAACAGTATGTTGATCACATTAGAACTTCGACATTTGAAGAAATAAAAAATGTGAATTTTGATTTTATCATTGTTGGCGGAGGAGGCACTGGATGCCCATATGCTCGTAAATTAGCTGATGAAGGTTTAAATGTATTAATAATTGAAAGAGGAAACGCAAGGATTAAACATGTGCTTACGCATGATATGTATGGAGCAGGATTAGTAATAGCAGACGAAGCTGTATCACAACCTTTGAAGTATACGTGTGGAGTGAAATCCCATGCTGCATCTGTTTTAGGAGGAGGAACTGCTATAGGTATGGGAATCATGATATTAGAATCTGAACCTTATTTAAATCAAATAGAAAAACATGGCAAAATAAAAATTGATCGAACTTTGTTTAACCAATCGGTTAGTTGGATTATAGAACGCTTATCAAACCCGGCCAAAATGATTGAGCCATATAGTTCGACATTAGTAAAGATATTTAAGGATATTGACTTTAAAAATTTCACAAAAAATAGCTTTAAAATTAGGACAGACGGCAGTTGGAACCCGGATAGTTTATTTAATGAACAAAAAGGAAAACTGAGACAAAGTTCCGATTATTTATTAGGGTCAGAAGATTATCCTCAGCCTTCAAATTTGTATATTTTAACGGGCCACACAGCAGACGAAATAGAATTTGAAATGGTAAATAACGAACCACATGCACGCTGTGTTGTATTCCATGAAACGAAAAAATCAGATATACAAAAAATAGGTTCGAGTGAATGTGGGCCATTAGTCAGAAAATCATATATGACCAAACTATACAAGTATAGTGATAATATATTTTCTTTTTTCAGTAGAAGACACGAAGAACTTGTTGAGAAAAAAAAATTGTGCGCAAAACATAATATAACACTAGCTACTGGAGCTATATTTACGCCAATTTTGCTGGCAAAAAGTAAAATTGGGAACAGTCGTCAAATGAAAGAACTTCAAATCGAAAATCCAATATTAATAAACGAAAACCTTGGTAATAATTTTGTTGATCGCGGTTTGATTCCAATCGCACTATTTCGAGTTGATAATGCGGACCTGGCACAAGAGTTGGAGCCGCAGATTTGCGGTGTAGTTGGCCTCACGCCAATAGGAAAAAGTATAGAATACGATGAAAAATCAAGTGCTAAACTTGGGTCGAAATCGAAAACATGGGGATTCACTTCTGTGGAAGAGATTACAGGAGGGCGAATAATTGAGGGTTTTGTTTATGCAACTAAAATAATTTTTCCGCCTAAAGTGCGGGATATGGTGGTGGTAGACCAGTTATTGACGCTGATAAATTATTGTAGCGAAACCAAACGGCATCAAAACTCGTGTGAATTTATGAAACCAGCAATAAAATGTTTAAGACAGCTTTCTGCAGTTTGGTATTTCATCAACGAGCCAAGATCCAACGGAAATATATTTTTATATCGCAATGGAAGTATAGAAATGGACCCTAAATATTTTTCTGATCCGAAAGATTTGAGTGATGCTATACGTGGTGTGCAATCATTATTAAAAATGACAAGACAGGGAGGAAACGCTCAAGAGATTTACCAAGACAATTCTGCAAACTCTTGTTCGACTATTATACATGAATTGATCTCGAAAGGACTAGATTATATTTTGAGTAACCGGCGCGACCCAAAGCTAATGGCGAGCCATGAACTAGGCTTTTTAGAACCGTCGTTTCACAAAGAAATATTTATGTACGAAATTAATCGATATTTAGACCAGACTCTTAGTACTTGGCCACCTTCAATCCCTGATCCGACAAATGAAGAAGAAATCGAAAAATACTTAAAAAACACGTTTCAAAGTATTTGGCATTCTTCAGGGACAGCTCGCTTGGGCGACGTAGTAGATGGAGAGTTTAATTTGATTGGAGTTAAGAACTTGAGTATAATCGACACAAGTATACTACCTCAAATGACCCGTATGAACCCGACATTTACTGTTATGGTTCTGGCCCATTACGCCGCAACTAAAAAGATAAGTGAACTTAATCGTAGAAAATTCAAGATTGCATCGTAATCACGTTACGGAATCGAAATTTAATTTAATACAACAGCAATCTAATATGAAAAACAAATAGCGCATTAATTACAGAAAATTCATTGCTTAAGAAGCCTAAATATGAAATATTAGATTCTACAAAAGATAACGATCAAAACGGAGCTGATGTGCAAAAAATAACTGCAAAACAAATAAAAACAAATTAGTGTTTATGGTTGTTTTTCTGATCTTATAATTGATGCGTGAATTAAGTATAATTACTGTTTGCACACAAGTCAAATGCAACAAACTTGTTATATTAATATGAGTTTGAGTTGCCTATGTCATATAAAATTATTGAATTGTGGAGCGAACTTCAATAACGTTTCATGAAGACTAATTTTAACATTAATATGTTGATTAACGTGTAAATTTGAGATGAATTTTTCCAGTTGGGATATTCGTAAAAAGCGGACCTTGAAATAATTATTTACGCCAACCGATTTGCATAGCCCAATAACAAACACGATTAAATCATGAAAACAAATTATTGACGAAGCATTGACATACAATGCTATATTTACAAACCTCAAATATTTCTAGATTACCAGTTTGTTAATTTTTTGATCATACATTGGTGAGTATTGTTATCATAAATTTTCCTGAATCAATGATACATATTACTAAATGATTTTTACATTTTTTAAAAATTAAAGATCCATATTGGAATAACTTTTATTCTAATTTTCCAAAATGTTAGATTTTTAATAACATTATAAATCTAAACCTGAATAGGTTTTTTGTGCTGAAATTAAGCTGATGCCGTTTGTAAAGTGAGATTTGGTATGTTTATTTGCACAAATTTTCTTACTAAAGTACAAAACTCTATGAGTACAAGTGTTTAAAACGATATAACTGTAACTCAACTAGCTACAATTAGATTAAAATTGATTAAGATATTTACTGAGTCTAATGAAGTATAAATAAAGACAAGAGAAACTATTTCACATCAAACTGAAGTAGTAGAAAAGAGAATCAATGATGTTTTTAATGAGTAATAAACTAAAATGAGCTATTGTTACGATGAAGAATTTTTGGTAATGTGTGGTCTAAGTTTTTTAAAATTTTTATCAGTTCTGAAGATAAAATTTAACTCAAAGACTGCTTAAAAGCAATTGTTCTGAATGAAGTGTGTAGATGGAACAGTAGGCATGAGTTAGCCTGACGGAATTTTATGAACAGAGCGTTTCTCAATTTTCTGTTTGTTTATATTTAAAATAAATCTAGTCTAATATTAATTCCAAGAACCTGACAAATATTGTAAAAATTATAATCTAAACTATAAGCATAGCTTATAGTAATTTTAAGTTAATAATAAACAGCCTATTTTAGCGTTGATAACGTTAATATTGTTCGTTATAAAATATTTTTTATTTTTCATTTTTTTTAGCTTGAAGTACTTCTTGCTGATCCAAGGATCTTTCGTCTTCAGGAACTAATTCAGCAGCAGTCTAAAATGAAGATGATAGATATACTTACGTCGTGTAATAAAATAGTTTTTAGGATTTGATCGTTTTCACTTTGAAAAGCGTAGCTTAGCGGAGATTTGTTGAAGAAGTTTTTTTGTAACACTGAGAGTGGGCTAAGAAATTTGATAACTTAAAAAACTTACATGCTGGGCATATTGCATAAAACGCGTACGACTTCGACACATTCGTTTTGCACTGCCCAGTGGAGCGGAGTGTTTCCAAGGTTATTTGGAATATGCGGAATATTTAATTCTGCAATAAGAAAGTTGACGAGTTTCTCGTTGCCACTAGCTGCGGCGAAATGAAGTGCATTGTTGCCATTGATGTCTTTTTGTAATAAAGACTCCAGCGTAAAAGGCGACTTTCCGTCTACTAGCTCGCATGTAAAGTCTTCGGGCAAGACGCCATTTTTAACGCAAGTTATAATTTCTTGTACTTCTTCTAAATTACCATGACCACAATGGTAATGAAACTCATCTATTAATGTCCACTCGTCTTCTAGATCTGGATTTATTGCTCCTATGCTTTCGAGCGGCCTCAATACCATTTAATTAATATTTTTGAATTATTTAAAAAATGTCTCAAAAAAAAATTTAGCGTTATAGTATAAAGTTTCTTGTTGAAATGGTTTCGAAATGTTCAATCTGCAAGCCTACAGATTATTGTACTCATTCATCTTGTAAGTGATTAAATTACTAAGTTTTAGTTTTGATCTCAATCCGAGCTGCTGCTAGCGCCAAATTTACTTCCATTTCCAACTATGTTAGGATGAAACCGTACATTGCACCGGAGTACGAACACAATTTGCTGAAGAACACCTACAAACCACTTGGTTCTACTAAATTAGAGGTCGTCATTGACAAGTTCTTGTGGAATCCTGTCGCGACTATGTTACCGCGCTGGCTGCATCCTAATGTGCTAACTTTGATTGCTTTCTTATTTAGCGTATTAGGAGCATTCTTCCCGACTTTTCTTTTCAATTATGACGGAAAAAGCGTATCTCCTAGATGCATTTATTTGATATCCGCTATTTCGATTTTCCTTTACCAGCTTCTTGACGCCCTCGACGGAAAACAAGCTAGAAATTTGAAAATTGCCTCTTCTGCTGGCCAACTGTTTGATCATGGTTGCGATGCAATTACCACTTTTTACATGTTATATACCGCATTGTCTGCTAGCCAATTTGGTTTCAGTTCTAATTGTGTGTTTATTATTACTGCGATTACTTATCATTTATTTATATGTAGTTGGTATGAATACGAATTTGAGAAATTTAAAACAAACATAGCTTCTACTGTTGGTATAACAGAGGCCCAATTACTACTGGTACTTCTAAACTTAATCTGTTTTGCTCGTCCTGGTATTTTCGCTTTTTGTCTAGTAGACATCATGCCAAAAATTCTAGCTAATATTTTGAATTTCCCTCCCTTCAACATTAATTTAACGACAATGGTATTCTACATTGTTTTTGCCTACGTTTACTATCTAAGTGGTACTGACTTATTAAACATTTTATCTACCTCTAAATTCAAAAATCCTAAAGAATCTGCAAGTATTTTTGTTACCCTATTCATTCACTTGTTTTGCCAATTCCACTATTTCTGGAACGGTACTATCGAACGTCACATGTTTGGTGTAACATTTATTGTTGCCATTTTCGGAGCTAACATCTGTTGGAGATTTATGCTTGCATCCGTTGCAAAATCTAAACCAGTGTTAATTGACGCGCATACTGTTTTCTTCTACTTAGTCGGTATTATATTAGCTTTGCCACTCAGGAATAACATATGGGAAACCATCATTATTTACACGATGTGTGTTTATACCTTTATTTACATGCTTGGTTTCGTTTATGTTAACCTTAAGATGATGAAAAGAGTACTGAACATTTCTTTTTTTGTCGTTCCTCCTGCTAATATTCAAATAACTCTAGACAATAATGAAGCTAAAAAAAAGTCTGAAACAAAAACCGAAAA